CCCAGAACTACTTCAGCTGGACACACCTGCCTAGGCCTCAGCACTTATTCCGCCAGGCAATTGTAGTAAAAGAAGACCCTTGAAATATAGAGCAAACATGAGATCATCACTCTAACCTGACTCCCGGGACAATGGGACTCTGCACACTCCGGAAGGAGAAGCCACTGCTTCATCTTTGCCGTTGCCAGCCTGGGGAATAGAAAATGCCCAGGTAGCTTATTCTGCAAGCCTCTGATATCATCTTTATTCTCTCATCGTAGAAAAGTAATTGGGGAGGAGGGGTTCTTTCTACAGCGGGACAGAGTTTTAGATACCTGCCCTCATCATCTGGCCCTTAAAAGTACAGATAAATACAGCACCTATTACAAAGGAGACTCAAAATGTCTCTGCAACTCTTTAATCCATATGTCACCTGCGAGCCACTTCGGTAGAGAAATTCTAAAGCTACTGCCACTCTTACAGATCGATCTATCTGTTGCAGAAATACACTTGATAATCAAAGAGAAATGTTTTTATCCTTGGCTTCATACTAGCATTGTGCAATGGGCAACAATCCTTATCTCTCCAAACTTTTGTGTTACCTTTCCCTTCCCTAGAAAAATCCCTTTTGCCCTACAAAAAAATCTTGCCCTACAAAATTAATCTTGGATCCCTGGGGTATCACTTCCTTCTGAATTATACTTGGAGGAAAAAAATCAAATGTCCTTTTGTACCTTGGAAAGCAACTGCAGCCCCTATAATTCTTTTTCCCTCACTTATATAATTTATACATTGGCTTTCAGTGAAATAACATCCCCTACAAATTTGCTTTGTATTTGGAAGACAGCATCTTCAGCTCTGACCCTGCTCCTTATACATAAGGAAGCTGAGTTCCCCATCCATGAGAGAATAAATCACTTTATCTTCTGGATAAATGAGTCAGCCATTTGTGTGTGGTAAAGATGACTTTTCCTTTGGAAAGCCAGCTGCGGAGTAGTTGTTCTAAATCACTTTCCAGCGTCTGCATAGCAAATTGAATAGATTTTTCTTTAGTTTTCCTCGGGAAGGGGGGTCAGCTCTCTTCCACATTCTGTTGGGTAGCAACAAAAAATGTTTACCACAGCAGTCAGCTTCCAGCACCCAACCCTATCTTAAATGTCTTTAGCATACGGCCAAACCAGGGGAACTTGGAGGGCCACACAGAACCGAATGGGAAAACCCTAAACAAAAGTCAGGCTACAGTGCTCCTTGAGTGAGGTAACCGTGTGCTCATCTTACAGGCTGGTGGAGCCATCAAGTAGGGCTGGCGGGGAGACTCCTGCACTGACCATAGCACATCTTCCAAGGAAGACCGAAACCAGGACAGTGTGTACGATCACCACCCCAGGACCGATTGCTCTCGCATCGCATTCACTCACCGTTCATACACTCTGGAAAAGTTCGTATTATCATCTGCGCTGTTCACAGGAGGAAGGCGGAGAGTGTGTGATTCAGGGAATTGTTAAAAAAAAATCATACAGGGAGAAAGTGACCAAAGGAGAATTCATGTCTGTGGCCACTAAGCCTCTGCTCTTCATTTGCCTTGCTCTTATCTCTCAGGGAACAATCGTCTTAAAAAGACCTGGGACCTCCCGCACAACCGCAAGACTTCTCGCTGGAAGACAGAAACCGGGTTCAATGCCCATTCTCACTGATGTGACTCTTACAGGGGCACAAGGAGAGAGTCTTCAAGTTATGCTTACAGGAACTCATTTCACCCGGTCTAGGTGCTATGAGTTTCACAATGTGTTCAACATTTGGTCCCTACGCCGAAGTGCAGGGATACACCGTCCTTGTTAAGATGGCCTGCATTAGTCAGACAGGCTCTGAAGCAAGGATCCTACTGACAACAGATAAGTACTGATCACAACAGTGATAGCCATCATTTGTTTAATGGTTCCCAGGCACCAAGCACCATCCTAAATACTTCTCAAATATTACCTCATTTGATTCTCAAAACAACTCTGTCAGAAGATGACCATTATTCGTGGATAAAGTGATAGAGTATGTCTTTTTGATCCCTGCCTGCCCTCTGTCTGTCTTCATCCTTTCTTCTGGAAGGAAGGCAGCCAAAGGCACACGCAATTATGCTTTTGAATGAGCTCTCTTGAAGAGATAGATGCTAACATCTAGAGGTTCCACTTGAAGAATGTGCAGAGTCTCAAGAGATGTGCGCAGGAAAAGAGGTAGAAGTAGACCAAAGGAAGAGTGTTTATAGATATAGTGTTATGATCAAGGTAAGCAACTAGGGACACTCTCCAAGGTCAGAACGTGATCTAAGAGAAAGAGTAAAGAAATGTCTGGCACCTTCCTTTGGGCTCTGCAATGGTGTGTAGGATCAGCTTCTCTCTGGTGCTAGACTGAGTCTGCCTACACCCATTTCAAAGGAAAAGAAACTGAGGGCTAAAGCTGTAGGGGAAGTGGGAAGGGGAGGAGAAAGGAAATAAGGGACAAGAAAAAAATGGGAGAAAAGGAAAAATGGAAGCAAAGTCTTTCTAAATAGGACAGGGTGGAAGGAGTGAAGTGAGGGCAGGGAAAAAGTGTAAAAAATTAAAAATAAAAAATAAAAAAGGAAAAGAAACTAAGGTTCAGTGAGGGAAAGTCGTATAGTCAATCACCCTCTTATAACCCTACAGAAACAGACTTGACCCAAAGGCTCTCCTTCTTCATCCTGATATGAATAGCATGGCTAAGCTTCAGTACAAAGCAGAGATTACAAATTAAAAGCAGAAACAATTTCATATTGACCCCTCTGGGTGGTAGAGTCACATTGGAAGTCGTGAACATTGGCTCTTTTATCCAAGTCCAATAAGTTAGTGTATGGCTCAGAAACTGGGCACAACCTAAGCAATAGACACTCGTAGCTAAAACTATAGGTCACTCTACTTTTAATCAGTTGTTGATTCTTTTATAGGTTTTCATGATTTGATCTTATTTCTAAGGCTACAGTATGTGAAATGGCTCTGAAATGAAAATATGCCTTGAGTCTAAAAGCATTTAAAAATTCAAAATTGAAAGGAAGGTAAAAATTTATAGCTGAGGTGAAATAGGATGCTTCAACAGTTGATTTTGCAGAATTTTATTTCAGGCTATGTCTTAGTCACTTTTCTCTTGCTGAGACAAAATACCTGATACCCAAAGTTAAACAGGAAAAGATTTATTTAGCTCACAGTTTATAGAGGTTTCAGTCCACAATTGGCTGGTTCCAATGCAGGCAGACAGGATGCATCACAAAGGGCAAAACAGTCCATGGCAGGCAGAAGATAGCAAAGCAAGCAAGTAAGGGAGGACCACAGCTCTTTCTATCCCTTTTATCTTATCCAAGCTACTTAGGATGTGTAGCACTCCTTCATCCTAGCATTGTACCCTGAATCAGTCCCAGCAACATATACGCTAGATCCAGCCACCTCTGAAAAAGCCCCACCTAGGATCTTGAGGCTTTGGGGAAACATCTAGACACAGCTGTAAGAGGCCATAAATACTGAGCCATTTCCTTTGAAATTACAGGGCAAACATAGAAGCTAAACATCTGCATTGCTATTAGTCTTTCAAACATGTTTAATAAGATTCAGAGGCAAATATAATTAATAGCTAAAATTTAGAAATATAAAATTTGGTTTGGAATGACAAAGATGCCCTGGGTACAAACTGGTAGGTTAAAAATTTAGTTGGATACATATGAGCTATGCTAGGTGATGAACTAGAACTATGAGATTGGCACAGATAAAAATTTTAAGTGAAAGATATTTTGAAAGCTAAGGAAAAGAGTGCAATAGAACCAGCCTTTACAGAGAGTCACAAATAGGACAAGGGTAGTACTTACCCCTAGAACCTTGAGAATTAAACAAAATTATTTCTTCAGGTCTCTTTTTGCCTCATGATTCTTCAGATTTAATTATATTTTATGGGTAACATGTCATCAGAAAACTCCAGAGTCAAACAGATTTTAGTCTGAATTGGGCACATGAGCATTTGAAATTGTCTATAAGAAGTTTAGAACATTCCAGAACATTCTGAGCTTTACAAGAGAAAAACTTCATGTTCCATTAAAACAATGACTACCAAAAGAAAATTCCTTACTGATTACAGGAATTGCTAAAACTACCGTATCATCATCTAAATGTTCTCTGGGATGTCCATCTGGAGTTTGCCCTGAGCTCACTACTCTTCAATTCTTTAGCATCAGTTTTTCCTGTCAGCTTCCCACTGCAGGCATTCAAATGAGTCCTTGAGATTTATCAAGGTAGAAGATAAACATAGCTGGACCTCAGTAAAACGACTGCTAATGTGTGTTTTGTGGTCCCCACTTTAATTAGCTGGTCTATTCTTCAAACTACACACTCTGCTTGTTGTATATTAAATTTTTTAAATGGGGGCAGTTCTTGGTAAAGGATCTGATTTGTTTATTTTAAGATAAATGCATTTTGGCATTATTATTGTTTTGAGGAACAATAGTTACTATTACTAACCAACAGCAAAACCCTCTGTTTTCCACGTTCCTATCATATCTTCCATTTCTCTGCCTTATCATTTACCACAGTGTATCAAAACGATCTCTGTGTTTCTGTCTCCCGCTAGATTCTAAACTGCCTGAGGGTAAGGTACCACTTCTTGGCTATATCATTATCGTTATCTTTTGGTCTCTGCCAGATCGTTCGACATTATCAACCAGCACTGTTCAGAAGAGAAGCTGCAAAGTGAGACAAGAATAAATACCGGCACCAAATTATCCAAAGTTAAATCCTAGCAGCATACCTGTGGGAGCTCAAGCTAGCGCCATGGTGCAGCGTCCTGCTCTGTGGAACAGGGATAATAATGCGTAGCTTGCACGGCTGTCATAGCCAGTGGAAGGTGGAGCAGAGACCAGAGGTGCCTGGTCCAAGTGCCAAGCCTCAATCGAGCTCAAGGCACGTGGAGACTTAGGACCAAGCCACCGCTAGAGTCTCCGCTACCCCGTGGAGAAGGCACAGGCACAAGCTCACCTTATGGAACTGTGGAGGGTAGATCCGGGCCGCCCCGTGGTTCAGCAGCAGCTGGTAGCAGACCTCGGGCTGGGCCGCAGGTCTCACGGAGGTGACTTTCAGCACATACTGTATGGCAGCGCAGCCGTTGATATCCATGAGGTTGGCCTCGGCGCCCGCCTCCAGCATCATGTGCATGAGCACGTGGTCACAGTTCCAGGCTGCCTTGTGCAGGGGGGACTTAAAGTCATCGTCGCGGGCATTGACCTCGGCCTTGTGGTCCAGCAGCATGCGGCAGATGAGGTGATGCTCCGGGCTGTACCCCTGCTCTTTAAAGCGGAGTGCCCAGTAGGTGGCAATGGCCAGTGGCGTCTCCATGTGGGCATTCACGCTGTCCACGACGGCCCCGTGCTCCACGTAGAAGGCCACCAGCTCCGAGAGCCCGAAGTGGGCAGCCGTGTGCAAGGGCGTCTCCTCGTCCTGGTTGTTGGTCTTCATGTTCACGTTCGCCCCTACAAAGGGAAATTGAGGCAGACACTTACTTTTGGTTCTTCCCAAGACCCGTAACACAGGACTTTCCGCGTTGACTCTTTTAACCTCTGACTGCCAGACACACTCATTTTCACCTCCTCTCCCCAGTCCCACTTAGGGGGCCAGGTAGAAGTCGCTCCTTTAAAACAACAGCGCCAGGGCCGGGGATTTAGCTCAGTGGCTCAGTGGCCTGCCTTGCAAGTGCAAGGACCGGAGTTCAATCCCCGGTACCAAAAAAAAAAAAAAAAAAAAAAAAAAAA